AAAGTTCCCATATTGGGTCTGGGACCTCGTGTCCAGACTGTGCTCGGCGCTGCACAGGCATAGGGATCTCCGTGCCTCCCGCTGCCATCAACCTTACCAGTATGGCACATCTGAGGAAACTGAGGCACAGAGAGGTAGTGGGGCTTGCCTGGGAATGAGCTATGGCATTTCTGCAGATAACCCTTCAGTTGTGACCAGCCTGGGTGGTTTGGACCCTTCTCCCCTTCTCCTCAGGGACTAAAGAGGTCCTAAGCTGCCACCCTCCAGCTTTGGCGCTTCCCTGCTCTCACGGAGCAACGTCAGCTCCACGAGTGATGGGTGGGAGAGCCCTGTGCACACACTAGCAGAAGAACCTTTGTCCCCAAAGTGCCACCAGCTCTTGTGCAGACCAGGAGCCACAGCCACTCAATCCACCTCACTCCAAAAGCACAGAGGGTGCTGGGGAATCACCTTCACAGTGGGTCGGGCGGGCGCAGGGCAGAGCCCACACCAGCCACATCCCTGCCCTTGGGGAGTCACAGTCCGGTGGGAGCCAATGCACTTTTTGGGGGGCACAAAAAAACCCCCACTGCCTCAGTTTCTCACCGGAGTCCACCTGGGTATTCTTGTGTCACTTCCCCACTGCTGTCAGGCCCGTGAGATCTGGAGAGCCTTGGTTTTCTTAAAGCCTCTGCTTTTTTGTGCTTTCCTTTCGACTCGTGCTCTCTTTTCTCATCCCACTGGAGATAACACAGGGCAGAGGAGCCCCTGGGGTTGAGACTTCACTGTGGGCTTTGGTGGTGCCTCTGTAAAACGATGCTCGGTGCTTCTTTGTGTCCCAAAGCTTTCCTAAGGCTGGGCGGGGGGGGGCAAAAAAAAAACCAACCAAAAGGCAGAAAGCCACAATGATGGAGGTGGAGAGGTGAAACAGAGCCACGGGCAGGGCTGCTGGGGTGCAGGGTACCCGCACCCTGGGACTTCGTGGCGCAGGGGAAGGGCAGAGAGGGCTGGAGGCTGGGAGAAAGGGAGGGAAAGCGGCCACCCTGCAGGGACAGGCCTGTGGAGCCCCCAGGGCTGCACCCAGGGGTGCCAGGGGTGGGTGCAGCCGGCAGGCCAGGCTCCTGTGGCTTATGGTGTGGCACGGCAGCAGCCTTGGAGGATTTTGCAGGAGGGTGGGTGATGTTAGCTGTGTCCCAGCTGGTGCTGCCCTGGTAGGAAACGCTGCCTTCCCCTGCTTGCCCAGGGGCACAGGCCGGTTTGTGCAAGAGGTCCCGGTGTCCCAGTCTGGTCTCAGTCCCAGGTTGCACAATGAAATAAACTCACCCAAATTCACTCTTCCAAAGTTTGCAAGTTATTGAGGGGCAGCTAAAATTATCCCTCAAAATCCCTGAAAAACTTGGGTTCTGGTGAAGCCTTGTTCCTCCCTACAAGCACCACACACCAGCACCTTCCACATTCCTCCCAGTCTGAACCTGGTCAAAGTGCACCCAATCTTATATCCAGGAGCAATTAAGTGAGCAACACAGCAATTATCGCCCTACCCACCCTTCGTCCTAGTCCATATGACCCTATAGCAATCCATATAGCCCTATGGAGGAGGGAGAAATTAGCATCTGGCATAGGCTCCCTAGCAAGATACTTCCCACTCCGGACTGTCCTCAGCCCGGCCATGGCTACGTGAGGATGCTCTCCAGCCATTGCAAGGCAGCTCTTAAAGGGCAGATCTTTCCCAGAGCTGCGCACCCAGCCTCTGTGAACACCTTTTCCAGAGGGCTCAGCCTCCCCCGGGGTCCTGGTTTGTGTAGTTTGAGGGGTTAAACGCTGGGAGATCTGGTCTGGAAAATGAAAGAAGGGCTGTCTTTGGAAATTCCAGCCTGGAGGCTTGGGCTGCAGTGGCCTTGCGGGATGGTGGGCTGGAGGAGGAGGGAGGAAGGGTCTTCATCAGTGCGAGGCAGTTGTCAGCTCTGCCCGGAGCTGCTGGAGCAGACGAGCTGGTTGCAATGAGGCACCGCTGCAGGGCTCAGCTGCCTCCCCACGACCACCCTCCGCCCTCTCGGGAGCCCTCATAGGCTCGGCGGGAGGCACGGCCTGGGTGCTGGGTGCTGCTTGGGAGGCACGGCCTGGGTGCTGCTTGGGAGGCGGAGCCCTCCCCTTGCTCAGGTGAGAGGAAGGAAGCGGTAGGGAGAGGAGGAGCCGGGGGTGAGCGAGTGTTACTGCTGGCAGAGAGCAGCTCCTGGGGTTTCTGGGCTGGGTGCCCCAAAGTTAAGGAGGTGCTGGGGTTCAGCGGCAGCCCAGGTAATGGGGAGGGTCCCGGGCGGTTTGCAGCGTGTGGTGGGTGGGGAACATGGAGGTGCGGGGTGGGAAGGGGGTGCTGCTTATGGGGTGGCCCAGCCCGCTGCCACCTAGGAGCAGAGCAGGCTGGTGTTAGCGAAATACCGGGCTTTTTTTGGGAGGCTTTTTAGCTGGAGAGGTGGATGTGAGCTGTGTTGCCTCCACGGGGGAGGATTGCTCCCTTTGCCTGCTGCAAGAGCTGCCGGGTGAAGGGCTTTGATCCTGCTGTGTCTGGGGCTGAGGGGTGGGGATGCCCCGTTCCTCTGTAGGGTTGGTTTGTTGAAGGTTGCTTGAAAACCCTTTCTCCTGCCCTGTCCACCTATTACTCTCTCTCCAAAGTGTAACTTATTCTTTATCTCCCTAATGGACCTGCTCAATCTATGGTGGGGCTGAGAGCTGGGAGAAGTCTGAGCCTCTTCTCTCTGTTCCCTGCCTGTCTCCGGTTGTCCTGGGTGAAACCCACAGGGAATTAAACCTCACTGAGCTGAAAAGTGTACCAGAGCCGTCCTCTTCCCGCTGCCCCGAGCTGCGGGGCTAAGCTGGTCCCCAGCAACGTGCAGGCGGATGCCTGGGGAGGGGGCAGCTGCGCACTGAGGCAGTGGGGCATGGCCCCGTGGGGGGACGCTGGCTCTGCAGAGGGGATGTGGCCCTGGCACGAGGCGCTCAGCAGCGTGTTTTGTTGGGTTGCTGCAGCGCTGTGTTGAGCTCTTGCACCCTGTGTTCACTGTGAGGGTGCTGCTCGGCGTGGGGCTGTTCCTGGGGACTCTTTCCAAGCCCCCACCCCAAACCCCACAGGCTGTGCCGGTTTATCTGCCCGAAATTTTCCTTATGCACTTTTCAGGTCTGTCTCAATGTATACCCCAGCCAGGAGCCCATCAAGCACTGCCCTGGGAGCATCGGGGCCAGCCCGATTGATCCTCTTCTCTGAAAATCCCCCCCTCTGCAGCGAGGAGCTCTCTCCTGTTTGCTGCCAGGCCCTGCAGCGCAGTGGGGAAGGCAGCTGGAGGGCTGCCCGCAATGGCAGCGATGCCTGGGAAAGCTGGGCTCAGCAGGTTGGTGGGTCACAGCAGAGCTGATGGAGGCACCGAAGCTTCGGGAGCCAGCTAGCGCTTCCCTGCCATCCCCCCCAGGGAGGATCTGGGCTTTGGGCTTATTCCCGACTGTCAGGGAGAGGCGGGGGGGACTGGACATGGAGCAGGGACTGCATCTCCCCACGCAGATCGCCTTCCTGGAGGGATGTCTGGGAATGGGACAGGGCTGAGCTTGTGCAAAACGGATCGGAGAGGCAGGGTGCCTGCTGGGGCAGAGGGCTCGTCGGGTGGCACCTGCTTGTCCTCGTCCCTTTGGGTAAGGAACCAAGTCTCACTGACCGCCCCTTGGGTTGGGTGTGTGCTGGGGGCTGTGCTGAGAGCCCCCGGGGACACCATGCCATCGGCTGATCGTGCTGCCAGCACAAGAGGTTTCCTTTAGATTATCCGTGGTCCTTCTGAAGTGGTCATCCTGTGTCCTCATCCTCTCTCTGGGGCAAGGTGGGGTGCAGAGCTGGCGGCTCAGGAGGCTGGGCTCAGCCTCTGTGGTTCCCAGCCTCTGGTGTGATGCACTGACACCAAGACCGTTGTCCTGCTGATGCTGAGTGCTGAGTAAGTGGAGCAAGGGGCTCCCCTGGTCCAGGGGCTGGGACCAGCTGGGTGTTGGCACCCTGACATAGATCTGAAAGAAAATACTCCAGGGACTTCAATGCGTTGACCGGGAGGTGGCTTCCAGCAGTGGCCTGCAGGAAGGGGGGCTGCATGAGAGCGGTTTGGAGCCTGCGTGCCACCTTGTGTGGCTGGAGGCATGGCTGCACTGTGAGCCCCAGCATGGACCACACCAATCTCCAGAACTGTTTCTACTCGGGGGAGTGAGCAGCTGGAGGATGTGAGCGGGCGAGGGGATGAGCAGGAAGCAGGCAAGGCTTTCCTTCCATGTGCTCTTACTAATGAAAACCAGGAGCTGTGCAACCTCGGAGTGCAGCAGTGCCTTGTGAAAATGGCATTGCAGAGCTGTCCGGATGTCCTCCGGGCAGCACGGCCCCTTTCTGGGATTCCCTGGGAAGGTGGATGATGGCAGCAGGGGCCAAGGCATGGAGACTAGGGAGTTCTGGCTTTAACAAGGGCTGCATCTGCCCAATTCAGCAATGCCTAGGTGGCATGCCTTCCCCTCCGAGTTGGGAATGTTAGGTTTGGACTTTGTTCAAAGTGAGCATGTGGTGTACGCAGCAGCTCCTTGGACTTCCCTCCTCTCTGCCCTGAGGTTTTTTTCTTTAAGGACAGTGCGGGGCAGGAGGTCTCCTGCCAACCAAATTCTTGTTTGAATGGGATGTTGACAGATTGATTGCAAAGTGTTGCTGTGAGGTAGTATTTGCCCTCCCAAGGGGCAAATGTGATGGTGTATCCCAATGGCAAAGGTCTCTCTCCTCCAAGCTGGATGCAATAACTAGTGCTCTGGCTTCTGTCCTGTTTTCTGGTGCTGACAGAGGCCCTGGCTGATCTCCATCAAGACCCTTCATGTGTTTGCCTCAGTTTCCCTAGAGGCTTACCTGTCCCCATGATGGGGCTGTGTTTGCAGCTGTGAAATGACTCTTCTAGGGTAAACTCACATTGCATTTTAGCTGCTGGAGCCCTTTTTCCCCACCTGAGTCTATTCCTGTCTCTCACTTGCAGTCTCAAACAATGAACTACGTGGGGCAGCTTGCTGAGACCGTCTTCGTCACGGTGAAGGAGCTGTACCGGGGTCTGAACCCCGCCACTCTGACGGGCTGCATCGATGTGGTCGTGGTGAGGCAGCCCGATAACTCCTTCCAGTGCTCCCCATTTCACGTGCGCTTTGGGAAGCTGGGTGTGCTGCGCTCCAAGGAGAAGGTGGTAAGTGGTGCCTGCCCTGGGACTATGCCTCCTCTCTGGTCTCTCCAGACTTAGGATCTTCCATAACCCACAGGTTATGGAAGAACTTTGAGGGGAATGGGAGCCCTGCTGAAAGGGGTGCTTGCCAATTTTTGGAGGGGATGCCCAAATAGAACCCATCCTCTTCCAGGGAGGACTGTGCTTCCCAGGAAAATTGGGAGAGGTCCCTTGCCTCAAAGGCTGGGTGGCTGTCAGCCCTGCGAGCAACCCCAACCCGTCCCGTCCCTGGGGAGGTGCCTTCCTGGACACTGATGGGTGAGTGGGTTCAGATGGACAGGCTTCTTCTGCCCCTTGCCAGGTTGACATTGAAATCAATGGGGAGCCTGTGGACCTGCACATGAAGCTGGGTGACAATGGAGAGGCCTTCTTCGTCCAGGAGTTGGAGGAAAATGAGGTTGGTGCTGCTGGTCTGTGTCCTGCTGTGACCACCTGGAAGTGCAGGCTTGAGGTGGAAGGACCAGGCTTGGACTGCTCTTCTTCTCCAGGGTGACTCCATTATTCCCTCTGATGTTTTGTGTGTCCGGAAAGGTTCCTACTGAAAGGACCTTGTAACTAGTGTGGAGGATCTGGCTAATGGATCACCCTGAGGGAGAATTAGACCAAATATCTGCATCCCAGACTGTCCTCCCTCCCTGGGCATGGCTGCTGGCCAGCCAGGCAGATATCTTGGAGCTTGGCCTCTTGGGGGATCTTGTGACAGGGATGAGAGTGAGCCAGATGCTGTGGCAGGCTGCCCGCTCTACTGGGAAGCGGGATGGGACTAGTTGTGGCTTCCAGAAATCTTGGCAGCTCTCTCCCAGGCTGACTTGTGGTTGCTGCTAGCTTGGGCTGGGTTTGAGGGCAGGGAGAGGGCTCTAGAGCTGAAACCCATTTGCAACCTTTATAATTCTGGTCTCGTGGTGCCATCTCCTGCCTGCCTCTCCTTGCCCACGTTAAAGATAGCTTTAGCTTGTGGCTGGATAACCCTGGGTTTGTTTTTTTGGGTTTTTTTGTTGGCTTTTTTTTTGGTTTTTTTACTCACATGTTGCATGTACAAAACCTTTCCTTTTGGACCTAGCCACAAAACCACCCCCAAGCTGAGTGTTGGTTGTGCTGGTGGCGTACGTTGCATAGACAAGAGCCATGAGCTGCCAGGCTGGAGAAGAGGGCGCTGGAGCTGACGGGCTCTTCCATCCCTGTTGCAGGGCAGCATCCCCTCCCGCCTCTGCACGTCCCCCATCCCCACGGAGGAGAGCCTGGAGGATGCCGGTCAGCCCTCTCATGGGCAGGAGGCCTCCAACGCTGACGTGTCCCTGCGCAAGAGGAGGCGACGCAGGAGGAAGCCCAAGCGGAAGGTGTCGGACTCCGAGTTAGAAGGCTGCGAGGAGACCAAAAGCGAGATGTCCGTGGAGGAGCCGAGCAAGCTGCCAGCCCCCAGGTGAGTGGCTTGGTCTGGCAGGGTGATGTGGTGGTTCGAGCCTGTGGGTTTGCTTGGTGATGCCCAGCAGTACTGAAACATGGGGATAGCATTTTGGGTTGGACCCCAGCCTCCTGTGGAGTAGAAAGCCAGTGGAAATGGTGAAGCTGGGTATTGCCAGCTTTCCAGGTGAGGAGGCTGGTGCCTAAGAGTAGCATAACTGACCTCCTTCCTCCTTTGCAGTGATTCAGTGTATTTCTCCTTCGCTGATCTCCCTGAAGAAGAAACCGGGTCGTTGCAGTCCCCAGAGATACACCCTTACTCTGATGGGGAGCTGGCCTCTGCGGACAGGTAACGGGCAGAGCCAAGGTGATCTGCTCAGCTTTGGTGAGAGCAGGGGATGTGCCTTGTGGCCAGGAAGGTGGTAAGGAAAAGGGATTTGGGGGTGTCAGGGAAGGAGGGTTTTCCTGGCCTGATATGGTGTAGCTGGAGGAAAGCTCGGAGCCAATGAGGGACACTTCTGGCCATGGTCACAGATGCAAGAAGCCTGTGTGCACAGGGCTGTCCTGCCGCTGCTGCTGAGCTGCTTCTGGACAACCGGTGGCATAGCACTTTGCTTCCTTGGGCCTTAGCTTCCCATAGGTCTTGCTCATTTGTAAGTGATAGTCTTATGGGGTAGAACTGAGTCTATGGGAAACCAACCTTAGAGGGTTCTTGGCCCTAAATGTCCTTGCAGTGATAAGAAAGCATGGGGCTGTAGGGTAGATGAGGTCCAACATTCCCTTCTCTTCTTGTAGCCCCACCCTGAGCCATCCATCTTCTCCCAAAAGCGACTCTGAGCTGGAGATCAGACCGCAGGAGAGTTTTGTTCTAGGGACTGAATCCCATGTGCAGTGGACCTGGGGAAGGCTCCCTCAGGTGAGTCCCTGCTCTTGCTCTTCTCTAGCAGCTGGTGGGAAGGGGGTGTCTGAAAGTCCTGCAGAAAGTGGAGGAGGCTGTGGCCAGGCAGCTTCAGAGAAGTTGTCCTCTTCTGCCGGATGCTTTGGGCAATCTCCTGTCCTCAAACCTGTTCTTCTGCTTTCCTTGAGGTGAATAAATCGGAACGAGTTGAACCAGCCAAGTCCACAAAGACCTTTGCTACTGCAATAACTACTGTCTCTGTGATACCGGTCCCAGTGGATGAGGCAACCCATCTTGTTGCCACCTCTGAAGGTCTGGGAAGAGGTCCAAGCCCAGTGGGACATGAGGGTGCACCTTGTTCCTCTGCTGTGTCTGTTGTTGAGCCAACACCCGCACCCTGGGATGGGAACGGCCTCCCCAGGCTGAAGGACATCCCCAGCGCTGTGGGGGCAGAGAGCTTGTTGGAGGCCTCCTCAGCCACACAAGAGAAACAGGAGGGAGGTGGGAACATTGTGCCAGAGGTTCAGCCAGATGTGGAGCCCTTTGAGGGAGCCGCCGCTCCGAGGCAGGTGGGCTCGGAGGGGCCTGAGCCCCAGCTGGAAAGCCAGAGGAGACAAGGTGAGTGTGTGACTGGTGCTGCTGGAAGAGGTGTTTGAGCCTGCAGATGTATGACTTGGATGGGGAGGCTGGGTTGTTTATTCAGTGCAGCTCCTTCATGACTGCCCTGGGTATTCAAGGTGTGACATACTTGCTTTGCCCTTTCCACGTGCCACCAGCTTCTTTGCTTTGAAGAGACGTTCCTCAGCTTTCCTCCTTTCAGAGACCCCCCCGCTCCCCAGGAAGGCTTTCTTGCCTTATGTTTCCTGAAGTCCATCCTTGGATGTCTCTGCTTTTGCATGCTTAGAAAATTTCTCAGCGGTGTAGACCATACCTTAACTTGAAGTGTCTGGCAGCAGCTAACCTGACTTGTGTCTTCATCCCGAGCATGCCAAGTCAGGAGGAAAATCGCATGGAGTGAAGTATGCATATGTCTCCCTTGACAGTGCATTTAAGGACTTTTATGTTGTCCCCTGTCCTAACCAACCTTACTCTTCCAGCCAGCATAAATTCAGATCAAAATTGCCTCCCTGAAGAAGAGACGCTTGGGATTCCTCATTGTACAAAGAGGAAGATCACAAAGTGTTATCTTGCATGGTGCTAACTTCAAATGGCACCTTCAGACTGTCATAGCAGAACATAGGCGGGACTTTGGCCTGTCCTTTGTTGTCCTCTTGGCAAGTGGTCTCATGCCAGTACAGGTGTCTTGAGGTACTTCTGTTGCTGTTGACTTAAGGCAGCTTTTCAAGAGGAAAAGAGATGCCCTCTTTATATGTTATATTCATATATGATATATGAATTTGATAGAGGAGGATGCTGTTAGCTTTCTCAATAGATGCTGAGAGGTTGGAAAGGTGATTCAGCTAAGCTCTCTCCCTTCTGTCTGTGCATTGAGGATCCATCAAAAGAAGTCCTCACTTGGGTCCCAGTGATGTTTACCTGGAAGACCTCTCCAACCTGGATGAGGAGCAGGTGGCTCTCTATTTCCCCAGGAGGTATGGGTTGCCCCAGCTGGCCAAGCTCAGACCTTCTTGAGCAATTCCCTTACAGCAAAGGGTGGAGGTATGTGTAAAGCTATTGCCTGATGTTGCCACTGTTTCTTCTCTTGCTGGTAGTGACACAGAGCAGAGTTCAAAGCCTGTGGCAGACCCCAGCAACCCTCTGTGTGTCCAGCTGCCATCTGACTTACCCGCCGACAGCCCCATGGATTCCGACTCTGATCTGATGCCCACAATTGCCCTGTCGCTGTGCGGAGGTCTCGGGGGCAGCAGGCAGATCTCTCGTGGTAGGTGGGAGGGGAGGGAGAATCTGCTCTCCTGAAATCCATTATATGCACCAATGGCATGACACAGCCTCTGTTCCACCAGAGAAGTTCATGGAGCATGTGGTCTCGTACCAGCAGTTTGCTGAGAATCCAGGACTCCTCGATGACCCGAACCTGGTGATACTGATCAACAAGAAGTGAGTGGCCTGCTCTTCCTGCTGCTTCATCCCAAGATGACCAATGTGGCCCCTTTGTCCCTACAGAAACACTCCCATAGGAGTGTGACTCCATCCCAGACAATGATTATACCGCAGTAGTTACGGGAGGGGACCTTCTGGCCATGCTGCAGGATGGTGACCTGGAAACAGCCCTCGCTGCAGGAGTGGTGACGTTCCCATCCCTCTTGCTTCTTCCAGGTATTACAACTGGGCAGTGGCTGCTCCCATGGTCCTGTCCCTGCAGGCTTTCCAGAGGAACATTCCTGAGGTCAGTGGCACAACACATTTACTGGCTACGCTTCTCAGCAGGGCTTGAAGAGTGCAGTGGGGCTGCGAGAGGCCAAGCTGCCCATCTGGGGCTTTGCAGGCAGTCTGAGGCAGAGCTGAACATCACTCTAGCCCACAAACCCTGAGGTCTGTCCTTTCCCCCAGAGGAACCTCGGGGTGGCTTTTAGATACCTGGGTATCACTGAAGCCTGGAGAGCAGAGATTTCCTTGTCAAAAATCTCCTATTCTGATGGTTGTATCTGTGCAAGGGGCCCTGGCAGTCTGGAGGATTTGGGGCTGCATGAGCCCGCGCTGGGCTCTGTAGACCTGGCTGGGATTGTATGGAATAAGGCATCCAGATCTCTTTTTTTTTTTTTTTTTTCTCCTCCCCGCAAGCTGCCTGAAGAGAACAAGTCATTGTACCCTTCACCTCAAAACTATCTCAGCTCACAACGTGGCAGGAGTCACACATCTTATCCTATGAATAATTTTGCAAAGGAAACCCTGCCTGGACAAGGGTGTCCTTAGCCTGTTGGCAGCTGAGCCTCCCTGGGCTGAGGACTGACTTTATCCCATGCTCTGCCATGTTCACAGAGCACCATCGACCAACTGGTGAAGGAGAAGATGCCCAAGAAAGGCAGCAGGTGGTGGTTCTCCTGGAGGAGGAGAGAATTCCCAGCAGAGGAGGTATTTGCAGTGGTGGCTGTGACAGCTGTGTCCCCAGGGCACAGGAGTCATTCTGGTGACTGGCAGGGGTGGGGGTAGGAGAGCAGCAGGGTCCTGAGGATGGCCTGAGGCTGAGTACAAGAGTGGCCAGAGGCACCTGGTGGTAAGTTGATTTCTGAAGGCTGTTGCTGTCTCCTCAGGTCTGTTAATGCCTGAGCAGCATTAATCAACTACCAACAACTGGCAATGCAGTAAAGGGGACCTTGTGCCCCTCATGCCACAGCTCAGGCACTACCTGTGCTTGCTGGTCTCCCTGCCACACCACAGCAACAAGGTTGTGTTTCCTCTTCCATGGGGCAATGTCATCATGAAGGCAGGGGGTTGCATTGCCACCTCTTTTCTGGTATCGCTGCTCCAAGTAGCAGTAAAGCAAAGCAGCTCCTGCCCTTGGCACCGAGGTGCTAATGACACCACTCTCTGCCTGCAGCAGTCGAGGCCAGGGAAAGCCAACGTGGGGACGCTGCAGCATGACTCTGCTGAGCAGAGGTGAGTACCTCCCTCCCAGGTTGCCTTTAGGAGTCTATGCGTGCTTTTGATCTCTTCTCATCCTAAATGACCAGTTATTCCCAAGTCTACCTAATGTATGAGGGCAGAAAGCTCTGTTAAGGCTCTGGCTGACCCCAGTCCAGCCAAGCTACTCCATGGCTTCTTCCTGGTGGGTGGGTTGTCCTGGGTCCCCTCCAGATCTCACCTGGTGCTCATGGGGAAAGCTGTGATCTGCAGAGTAAAGCCAACTTGCTCTTCCCTGTCTTGTGTAGGCAGGAGGAGGAGGTGTCATCCAGTGACGATGAGCCCCTGCACCCTGGGGACATGTTAGCAGTGGATGCCCCTGCACAGAAATCTCAACCAACCTACAAGAAATCCCTGCGGCTCTCCTCTGAACAAATTGTATGTACTTCACTCCTTCTCCTTCATGCCTGCTTGTGTGTGTAGGGGTGAGACAATCCTTAAACAGGGATTTCTCTACTCCTGACCTCATGTTTTTATAGGGCATCCAAGTATTTCGCTCTGGGTGGCCACCCTGTAGAGGCTTGGGGTCCCTGGTCTGGCCAGGTGGCAGTCTGGCCTCTGGCAAGCCTTGAACTGATGTGAATCGGTGCTGGTGTACCACATCTGTTTCCCCCTCTGCCACAGGAGAGGCTGAAACTGCAGGACGGCCCCAATGAGGTGGCGTTCAGCGTGACGACTCAGTACCAGGGCACGTGCCGCTGCGAGGCCACCATCTACCTGTGGAACTGGGACGACAAGGTGGTGATCTCGGACATTGACGGCACCATCACCAAGTAAAGAGCCTTCTCCCACCCCACATCGCTGCTCCCCCGTTAGGGGAAAGTGTCCTTTCAAGGCTTGCGTAAGCAGCCAGGAGGGACCACAAACCCCATCGCCTTCCAGATACCTACCAGGTTGGATCATCCTAATCTGGTCTCCTTTCCTTCTAGGTCGGATGCTCTTGGGCACATCTTGCCACATCTGGGAAAAGACTGGACTCACCACGGGATTGCTAAGCTCTTCCACAAAATCCACCTGTAGGTATTGGATCAACTGAGGCCAAGGGGAACTGGGAGGATGATGGAGGAGAGGCTGAGTGGGAGTCAGTTAGGGCTCCTTAATCGCTGATGCTGGCCAAACCAGCCTATTATTCTGCTGTCGGTGATGGCTGATGCTTGCTGTGCTCTCTGGATGATGTTGGGGGTGAAAGCAGGGGGATTCCCTGGGCGCTGGGAGCAGATGCTTGCGTTGCCTTCCCTGGGAGGGGAGTGTGTTGGTGGAGGCTCGGCTGGGGAGATGTAGCTGAGCGCTGAAGGAGTTGAGATCGCACAAGATCACACCTGAGAGGCCACAGGCACAGCCAGATGCCTTTGGGTCGCTGTGCAGCAGTGGCACGGGAGTCCACCAGCATCTGGGTGCCGGTTGCCTCTCTGGGCACCCAGCTTCCCGTACCCCGAGGTGCGATGCTGTCCCCGCACCCG